CATAACAGTACCACACCCAGCCGACTCATCCCACATTATTGAGCAGTCATCCCCATCGTCAACCTCTGCCACGCTTCCCTCACATCCTTTATCACCAACTACACCTTCAAATGCCACTCCACGAGTGAACAAAACATATTGAACGTGATTGTCATCTAGTTCATGAAAAAATTCAACAATGTCTTATAAGTACTGCTCACGTCCCAACTAGTTCTCAACGAGCCGATATATTCACAAAAGCTCTTGGAAAAGAGAAATTTCAGTTTCTCAAAGCAAGTTGGGTGTACTCAATGTTTATGCTCCAACGTGAGGGGGAGTGTTGGGAGTTACCACAATTTCAAATTGAAATTTAAAACTTGAATTTCAAATTTTGTATTGCTTTCTAATTTAGTTAGGATTTAGTATTACTATACACTTTCTTGTTTGGGAAAATATGCATTGTATATTTTCTATTTTTGTTAGATAAATCCCTACAATTAAGGGATTGCAACCTCTTGTATTCTCTAAAAATATCCACTTTTGGGTAATACGTATTATTGGAAAATTGTTTCATTCAATTGGCTCCAAAACTGGACAGTTCATGTAACATCTTTTGGTTTCTTAATAAAATGAGTAGGGGATCGATCTCCCCATTGATTCACCCAAAAAGAGAAAAATAAATAAAAATAAAAAATAAAGGGCACATTCTCTCTTTATAAATGGGAAATCGGATTCTGCTTCCCAAAAGATAGATGTTTTCATATTGTTGCTCCTTTTTACTTGATTGTAATTTAGTTTGTGAAAAAATTCAACAAGGTCTTATAAGTACTACTCACGTCCCAACTAGTTCTTAAGGAGCCGCTATATTCACAAAAGCTTTTGGAAAAGAGCAATTTCAGTTTGTCACAAGTAAGTTGGGCGTACTCAAAGTTTACACCCCAACTTGAGGGGGAGTGTTGGGAGTTACCACAATTTATAAATTGAAATTCAAAAATGGAATTTCAAATTTTGTATTTCTCTCTAATTTAGTTGGGATTTAGTATTGCTATACACTTTCTAGTTTGAAAAGATATGCATTATATATTTTCTATTTTTGTTAGATAGATCCCTACAATTAACACTTTTGGATAATACGTATTATTGGAAAATTGTTCCATTCAATTGGCTCCAAAACTGGACAGTTCGTGTAACATCTTTTGGTTTCTTAATAAAACGGGTAGGGGGTCGATCCCCCCATTGATTCACCCAAAAGAAAAAAGAAAAAAAAAAAAGAAAAAAAAGAAAAAAAAGGAAAAAAAAGGAAAAAAAGAAAAAAAGAAGGGCACCTTCTCTCTATATAAATGGAAAATTGGATCATGCTTCCCAAAAGATAGATGTTTTCATATTGTCGCTCTTTTTTACTTACTTTTCTCTTTAAATAAATATGAATCTACGGCTCCGAGATCTTTTTGTCTCCATGCATACAACATACATGCATACAACATACAAGATAAGCACTCGACAATATGTTTTCAAGTATCCTTTGGAGAAATATGCTTGGACAACCTTATGCACACTAATAATTAGGGATAAATAATGCTTTGATATAGTGTATTGATGTTCCTCATAGCCAGTAGATCAAGTTGCCTAAAATGAAAATCAAAATAAAATAAAAAAATAAATACAATAAAAAAGCCAGAAGATCCCCTTCAATCATTTGCAAAACTTTGTAGTAGATAAAGTTTTTAGTTGCTCACATGCAAAAAAATTCAAACAAAATACTAATGGAGAAGAAAACGTAAGAGTACGTGGTGAGGATACGTAACGTTATATGAATGGAAGTAGAGGAGGACGCTGAGGGTGATGGCATGCCTATGGTTAGCATTGGGTTTGATTTGACATGTGATTAGTTATCAAAGGCGCCACTCCCAGTGGTGGGATCCTTCTCCCCCCATCAACAGATATTTTTGGGCCTTTTGATTGGGCTAGCAGAAGCTGGAGTTTATCTTATGCGCCTAAAGTTAAAATTGTGGGTGATAATAAGATCATTATTTTTCTTCTTTCGAAGAACGATGCTGCTTCAGCGCTGATAAACAGGTTTGTTCGGGTTAGAGGGAAGTTGTTGTCTTTGGATCTTTGGAGACCCCATTCGCATCAATCATATCTTAGTAAAAGTACTGCTCTTGGTATTCCTAGTCATGCGTTGTCCATCTCTACTTTCCGTCTTCTTGCTAACAAATGTGGAGAATTTTGTGACGTAGACAAGTTAGATTTTTTTGGAGTTGATCTTCGATCTGTGAGGGTACGTATATGGAAACTAGAGGGGTTCATCATTCCTAAATTTTTAACTTTAAAAGTGGGGAATGAGTGTTTCGCTATTACAGTAGTTACAGAAGCCAGGGTAGAAGGCACAATTATTAAAAAAGTTGAGAATATTTCTACTGAGCTCAATGGTGAAAATAGATGGCAAGAAGTGGTTAGGCATCGTATATCTACGCCGAAAAACTCAGTTTCCTATCAGTTTAGGTTGGAATGGCCTCTAAAGTTTAGGCACTCTACAAGGAAATTTCAAAATTTCAAAATTTAAAAGTAAAGAATCAGTGGATCCCAATTGGACGTTTAGCATACGTTACAGCCAACGGATGTTGACTCGCTTGAAAGTCTATGGAGGTTTGCTGAGGGTCCAAGTAAGGTATGTGAGGGCTACCAAATAAAGTCATGAAGGAAAGAGGATGTAAAGTCGGTGGGATTGATGATGAGGGAGTGGAAGGGTCATCGGGCTGTCAAGATAATGTTGCAGGTTTATCGGGCTTGTTGTACTCTACAGTACTATGCAATTGGGCTTTCTTGTCATCGACGGTAAGAGGCAGTGAAGGTTCGCTATCTAAACTTTTTCCTTATCTCCCGTACTGCAGCTTAAGCGAGAAAAATTCATCGGGAAGTCTAGCAAAGGGGAAGCTCTTTTGAGAGAAAAACAGAGACATGAAGTGGCATCTCAGGTAGTATTTGCTCTTCTCGCTGTCATGTATCCATTGTGTTTTCTCAGGGTTGTCAAGAAGAAGCGTGTCTCTCAGCGGCTGCCTTTTGATCCAGTTGCGATTAACCCTCTGGCCCTGGTAGTTATAGAAGAGGATGTCGAGCCAGTTGATGAGATGGAGGCAAACGAGAAAGTAGAACCCGTGGTGACCTCTACTGAGGAGGACAACACTCTTCTGGAAGATGGAAATCTAGCTCTGGCTACATTGGACTCAGAGGATGCTACCCCACTCTCTATTATCACGGAGGAGCAGCCTTTACTCCTTCACCTATCCAAGGTTAAGCCAGGCTTCTCAGAGGTGAATAATGATCATGATGATGAAGGACATGATTATGCACCAAATCCTTTGTTGGACGATGATTGCAAGGCAGCTGAAGAAGTAGTGAGTTCTATGGTATTTGATAGCGGCATGGACTTCGACCTTCCTATAGGGGTCTTTTTTAAGGATCTTATAGAGAAGCTTAAGGCGAAAAAAATCCAGAGGGGCTCGTTGAAGAAGCAGAATCAGGGTACTGGGGATGGGGGTGTCTCTTATGTTACTCCCATGAAGGACGTAGCATCTAAAAAGAAGAGGGATAAAAGACCTGTGAAGGGCACACGATCGTCTTCATGACTAATTGCGCTTGAAAAATGGGCTAATGCAAGTGGTGTGGTGACCAGAGACGTGGAAGTTAATGAGGTCGAGTCTTCTTCTTCGTCATCGTCATCGAAGGAGACTGATGAAGAAGTTGTAAAGGAGGCACTGCTGCTTGAAGAATTCTATTTGAGGCCCAAAGAGGATGGCTCGGGTTCTTCTCACCCTTAATTTCTTATGTTAGTGTTGTCTTGGAATGTGAGGGGTCATGGTGATCCCAAAAGAAAAAAAAGATATTTTGTTTCTTGTAGGTAAATATAGACCTACTGCTCTAATTTTGCAAGAAACCAAACTCCATAGCCCTACTTTGTCTAAGGTTAGGAAGGTGTAGGGTCATAGAGCAGTTGACTTTGCGGGTATTGATGCAGTAGGACAATCGGGGGGGGGGGGAGGGGGGGGATTTGAATTTTATGGGACCCATCTATTTTGTTTTCCCTTTCAGTTGTTAAAAAATATTTGTTCTTATTTGTTAGCTTTGTGGGTCCTCACGCTGATTTCCAATGGGGGCTTATGAATGTTTATGGACCACAAACTTCGGCTCAAAAAGTCTGTTTCTGATATGTCGACGGTTATTGAACAGTTTCAATTTCCTATTTGTATTGGGGGGATTTTAATTTTGCAAGATGGCTGGAAGAAAGTCTTGCTGGGGATTCTATTTCATCTTCGATGCATTTATTCAATTGTTTTATTGAAGAAAATGCTCTTATTGATTATCCAATAGCAGGGGCTAAATATACTTGGACCAATAGAAGCTCTGTCGTGCTTTCTATATAAAAAATTGACAAGTTCTTGGTATCCCCCGAGTGGTCAGAATTTTTTCCATTGGCCTCTGTGAGAGCTCTCCCTATACTCTCTTCTGACCACACTCCGACTTTGTTAACCTCTAAGGGTTGCTCTGGTCGTATTAGACCTTTTTGGTTTGAATCTGCTTGGTTAAAGGAGAAAGAGGTCTAAAAAATTATAAAAAGTATGTGGGAGAACTCAATCACCACTGGATCACTTGATTATCAACTCCATAAGAAACTGGTAAATATTAAACATAAACTCTTGGAGTGGAAAAAGGAAAAGAATTCTTCCGTGAAGTACAAGATTGATACGCTTCTACTCTCTATTGAGGACCTAGACTTTGTGATGCATCAGAATGGTGATTGGTCTGAGGAGTTGGCGGTGGAGAGAAGTGAAAAACTCAATGAGTTACAGGAGCTTAGGAAGGTGGAAGAAGTATACTAGAGACAAAGGTCGAAGGTTAAGTGATTTAAGGAATGAGATTTGAACAAAAAATATTTTCATTCTATTGCCAATGCAAGGAGACCCCAAAACGATATTTCTGGTTTGTCTGTAAATGGGGTTGATCAAGAGGAAAGTGAAGGTATGTCCCAAGCTGTCGTTGATCACTTTCAGCAGGCATTCTCCTCAGAGGTCTCTCACGCACACAGGCTCAGGGTGGGTTTTAGAGTTATCCCATCTCACTTTCTTTCGGCTTTAGATAGGGAGGTGTCGATGGAGGAATTAAAAAAGACGGTTTTTGCCTTACCTGGTGATAAGGTACTTGGGTCGGACAGTTTCCCTCTTATCTTTTTTTATAAGTTTTGGAGTCGTATTAGTTCAGAGCTTTTAGAAATGATAAGGGGGTTTTTGAGGAGAGGGGAGTTGTTCAAGCATGTGAATTCTACGTTTATTGCTCTAATACCAAAGAAATCAGTGATTGCTACTTTGGGAGATATTAGACCTATTAGTCTGCTTACGAGCCTTTACAAAATAGTGGCTAAGGTTCTGGTTGAGAGACTTAAGGAGGTCCTACCTGAAGTAATTTCAGGACCACAAGCAGCTTTTGTAAAGGATAGATTGATCACTGATGGTGTACTAGTAGCACAAGACTGCATTCACTCTAAAATTATTGATGGCAATCTTAGAGTTGTCATTAAATTAGATATGGAGAAGGCATATGACATAGTAGAGTGGAAGGTTTTACTTGAAATAATGAGAAATATGGGTTTCAGTAATAAATAGAGACAGTGGATTTTGGGATGCATTTCTTCGACACACTTCTCAATTATCTATAAAGGTAGCCCGATTGGTTTTTTTAAAACCACTCGTGGACTACGTCAAGGAGATACCCCCTCTCCCCATTCATCTTTGTAATTTACGCAGAATGCTTCAGATTAATGCTCTCCAATGTGACGCGTAATGGTCATTTTGTAGGTTTTCGGCTTCCTAATGATGGCCCTTGTGTTTCTCATCTACAGTATGCAGATGACACTCTTTTATTTTGTGGAGCTCAGAGAACTGAAGTATCCAATATTGTTGTTTTTCTGAAGTGTTGTGAAAAGGTTTTAGGCTTCAAAGTAAATTTTACAAAAACTAGCATGGTGGGCCTTATTTGCACAGAGGAGGATGTTTCTCTTTTAGCTCAGGAATTTGGTTGCAAGATGGATAAGTTTCCTATTACGTACTTGGGTGTGCCTTTATCTGTTGGTAGGCTCCCCATTGCAGTATGGGACAAAATTCTTCAGTGCATTCAAATGAAGTTAGATCTTTGGAAGTTCAAATACTTATCTTTTGAGGGCAGAATTAAGCTTATTAAGGCATGTTTATCAAACCTGCCCATCTACCAGATGTGTATTTTTTAGATCCCTACTTCGATGGCAAAGAAGATTAAGTGTATGATGAGGAACTTCCTTTGGGGATCTTCAGTAGATAAGAAAAAGTTCCACCTTCTGCGATGAGATAGGGTTTGCACTCCAAGGGAAGAAAGAGGCCGTAGCATCAGAAAGATCAAGTTGGTTAATTTTGTTCTGCTCTGCGAATGGTGGTGGTGGAGTCTGACTCTCAAAAACCATCTCTGGTTCCAGGTGCTCGTTTCAAAATATAGTGTTGATATATTCAGCATGTGGCTAGGGACAATGAGAGGAACCTCAGGTATGTCAATTTGTTGGAAGGCTATTCAGTTGTGTAAAGGACTTATCCATAGGCATATTAGATGGTGTATAGGCAATGGAAGTAATATCTCCTTTTGGCATCACAAATAAGTAGGGGATTCTCCACTGAAATTACTTTTCCCATTGCTTTTTCAAATAGTGGTTAATCAAGATGCATATGTCTCAGCCAATTATGCTCACCGAGGTGACCAAATAGTCTAAAATATAGATCTTCTATATAATAAAATTCCTGATTTGATCTTCTCTCAACTTTCTGACCTTCTTAATATGCTAAAAGATGTTTATATTCATTTGAATGCAAATGATGAAGTGGCGTGGGAAATTGATAAGAATGGGCTTTTTACGTTTAAATCCATGTATTATTTGCTCTCCCACCATAGGGCAAGATGGTCTATGCCTATTTTTGCTAGGATTTGGAAGTGGCATCTTTCTTTGAAGGTTCAAGGATTTTTGTAGTTGGCGGCGCAAGATCGAGTGCTCACTATTGATAATTTCATTAAGCGTGAAAAGATTTTACCAAATATTTGCACCTTGTGTAAGGCAGATGGGGAGTCAGGTAACCATCTATTCCTACATTGTACCTTTGCTAGCCATATTTGGAGGTGGTTTTTCGTGAAGATGGGAGTTGCATTGGTAATGCCCCTCTCAGTAGTGGGGATAATAGAGGGCCTCTAGATTCCATTTTCGAAGCTGGGGACTATTATTGGTAAATTGTTAGAGGAGTCATTCTTTGGGAAATTTGGAAAGAGAGGAATATAAGAGTTTTAAAAGTGTTGACTTTGTCTTGTGAAAAGGTCTTGAATAGAATTCTGCACTGTATTTGGTCTTTTCTTTCGATTAATCCGAGGGAACAGGATATCACTGAATTAGATGTTAGAACAAATTTAGGTGATATCTTCCACTTGAATTGCACTAAATGTAGGCCTAAAGGGAGATGGTTGCCACTGCCACAAGAGGTATAAAGATTAAATTTCGATGGCAGGTCGATAGGCAACCTGGGTGTATCTGGCTTTGGAGGAGTGATTCGAGATTGGGATGGAGATGTGGTTCTTTTTTATGAAGGTCCTCTTGGTGTTCGGACTGCTAACTTCGCTGAACTCTCTGCCCTTCTTTTTGGTCTGCGTACTATTGTAGATAGGAAATTGGGGCATGAGTTCATTTTAGAGGGGGATTCTCGTAATGTAATATTGTGGTGCAAGAAGGAACAACTTTTCCCATGAGAACTGAAACCGTTGTTGTTGCAAATCTTGGATTTATCCGCTTCCCTCTCTGTTTCCTTTGTTCACGTTTATAGGGAGGCGAATGCCTTGACAGATTTCCTTGCCAAAGGTGGTGCTACTCTTTCTAATGTATCCGTTTCGGAATATGTAATTTCATTCTAGAGCAATAAAATTTAATGAACTTTCTATCAAAAAAAAAAAACGTAAGTTCCAGTGATTCTTCAGGGTAAATTGGACATGGGAGTTTTAACTTTCCATGCTTAATGAAATGCGTAAAGAGTTTTTAGCCTTGGGTGCCTCTGGTCCATATTCTTTGTCAAGAAGATGGGAATAAGGGTGAGAAACAGGTCGTGTCGACCCATGGACCCCATGGATTGACTCTATCGGGTCCGAGTCTAAAATTAGATAATAGGCTCGATGGGTTGGGTCTAGCTCTACTTGACTGAGACTAGGCCTGAGTTGGGTCCTATGTGGACCCTATCGGTTTTGGGTTGGGGTTGGTCAGATTTGACCCGACCTGATATTTA